TAAAGACATGATCGGCGACCTCACATCAAGAAGGTTGCTGGTTAGAGTCCAGGCTGTGTCAGATGGCACTTTTGTGTCGAGTTTGCATATTCTTCCCCTTTTTGTGTGGGTTTCCTTGCTCCAGGTTTCCCCCACACTCCAAAGACATGCGCTAATGGTGAATTGAATAAAACTAAAAATGGCTATAGTGTATGTGTGCGCGAATCAGAGTGTATGGGTGTTTTCCAGTACTGGGTTGCAGCTGGAAGGGCATCCGCTATGTAAAACATATGCTCGATAAGTTGGCGGTTCATTCCACTGTGGTGACCCCTGATGAATAAAGGGACTAAGCCAAAGGAAAATGAATGAATAGATAAACGATTGGCAGTCAGTCTGATTCTGAGAAAGTTGAACATACTTTCTGATTAACAACACCCACTTTTAAAACTGCTATAAAATGTGCCGAAGCAATGTAATACTTTTTTGCAAACATTTCATCACAGCTAGATATTTATCATTAACCTGGATTTTAACTGTTGTACCTAAATAAGGCAAGCCCACTCAAAATGACTGGTGCACCCAATAATAATAATTAAAAAAAAAACACTTTTCTTAAAAAAAGAAATAATCTTGCATATGGGAGATTCTCAAATTATGGGTAGATTTTGCATCTCCTAGATCAGTGTTTCTTTACCACATTCCTGGAGCACCACTGCACAGCACTGCATATTTTCGATGTCTCCTTTGTCTGTCCCACCCATTTCAGATTTTTCTGTCTCTACTAATGAGCTGATGATCTGAATCAGGCAACCCAGGCTCATTCTGAAAATGTATCTCTATCAACATTTCTGGGGAACGCCAAATACATCTTAAGAGCTACAGTTTTTGTTTTTGTCATGAAATAATTAGGTTTAATACATTTTTTTTGTGTGTTTATTCTACTAAGTTAAATAAACATTAGAATCTTTATGTCATGTTATTTATTTATTTTTTTTATTTATTCATTCATTGATTTATCATTTTCTTTTCGGCTTAGTCCCTTTATTAATCTTAGGTCGGCACAGTGGAATGAACCGCCAACTTATCCAGCATATCTTTTACACAGTGAATGCCCTTCCAGCTTTAACCCATCACTAGGAAACACCCGTACACTGTCATTCACACACATACACTACGGACAATTTAGCCTTCCCAATTCACGTATACCGCATGTTTTTGGACCTTTAGGGGAAACCGGAGCACCCGGAGGAAACCCACGTGAACAAAGGGAAAACATGCAAACATCACACAGAAATCTCAACTGATCCAGCCGTGGCTCGAACAATTTATTTATTTATTTATTTATTTATTTATTTATTTATTCTTGGCAGAGAAGATCATATTTTCAGGTTAACTAACTTTTTATACTAATGGGCAAATCAAAACGTTGATGTATTAACATTATATAATTATGAAAGAAATATGGTAGTTTACTGTAGATTTCAAAATGATCTACCGTAATTTTATTGATTACATTCTGGCAATCACAACTGCCAGTCTTTTACAGTGAATTTTACAGATAATTTTTTACTGTGTATATTTTCAGCTCAAACATTTTACCCTTTTTTCCTTTGCCCAATAGTGATCAGTTTTGTGTTGTAAAATGACTTTAGTTTAAGAGTAGGCCCTAGTGTCTATTGGGCCTAGACTTGCCACCTCATCAGACATTTATGTAATATATAAGCTATGACGTGTAGAGCAGACATACCCCACTCCATGTGGCCTGTTGTGCTGTTTGTAAATCTAAATGAATCATCATCATTCTGGTCGGCAGCCATGTGCTTGAGTCTCCATGATGGACAGACTTCACTGTGATCTGTCCATATACACAGTCAGACAGAGATGAGTATCATTACAGCACCATCAAACCCCTTCAAGGTGACAGAACTGAAGAGTTAAAAGCAAATGAACTGACCAGTGCGGAAATGGAGTTAAAATGTGTTGGTGGAATGAAAGAGAGGAGAACAGAGAAGGAATGTCAGATAGGAAATGAGCAGAAATGAACAGGCTGGGTTTTGTTTTTCGTCTGTTCCTCTTTGGCTGCTCACCAGAGCTCATCAGCACATTTTATTGGTTTTCAACAGGGGTCTGGATGTTATCTCTCGCTCCTTCCTATCAAGAGGCTCTCAACATATCAAATCAACAACCAGTGCTTTTATTCAAACCTACTGAAGCTTCTTTTCAGATTCGTTTAATCATCTTTTTGAACTGATTTATCAGCCTGGCTGGAAACGAATGACTACTGAAACATCAGCAAAACCAGACACTTGTAAAATGCATTAAAATGATGATGTCAAATCTGATCTTATCTTGAATGGAATGAGACGTATTATTAGCATATAGATGATTTCTGAGAGAAAGTCTTATTTAGAAAGAGAGATGTACTTATGGTTGTATTCTTATCTGCTGTTTTGTGGCCCTTAATGGCTGAGATATATTGTGTTACATGTTTTTTATGTTGCTGAAAGCATTCATTCATCTGTTAAAATAAGCTTTCACAAAGATGAGTGAATAGCTGATGGGAGGAAGGGCTCTTGGCTCTTGCGTTAGTATTTAATCAGGCGGGTAAATGTAACTCTTGTGAATACAGCAGGACATTTCCTTTAGGCGTTTACCATGGCTAAGGGTTTAACAGTAAATGTAGTCTTTAATTTGCTTTAAAAAGGTAACGACAGGCAGCAGAACTAAAGCACATTGTTCAAAACTCAGAAATCCCTTGTGGTGTTCAAATAACTTTTAAATGCATATGTCTGCTTCAGTGCTTCAAATGACTTGTATGAAGATAAGCTGCCAATTTATGGGTAGACTAATACTCTATTGTCATTTAGTGTAATATTGCAAGTTTATTCATAAAGAAGTGGTAAAATATATTCTTATTTTGACCTGTACTCACGCTACTAAAAAAAAACTAGTGATCCTATGAATTGTAAAATATTTTAATGACTAAAAACTTCTTAACAAATGGGTTAGAAAGACATATGAAGGATAGTAGCAAAGTATGAAGATGATAATATTCATTAATGTTCCTCCAGCCTAGCCCCTTTATTCATCAGGGGTCACGATCATAATAATAATCAATATTTTGAATTTCAGAAATACATTTCTTGTTTTCTTTTTATATATCACTAATAATCACAATTGAAATTATTTATTTTAAATATAAATGGTATATATTTTAATTTATTTTATATATCAAAATATATTTTAAATGATAATTTATACATTCGATGTCAAAGCTGGATTTTTTTTTTTTTACCACAATTTCTTAAATTTTCTTCATCACATGACCCTTATTTTATTTTGAAATTTTAGTTTAGTTTAGTTTAGTTGTTTATTTATATAGCACAGTATTTACAACACAACACTGCCCAAAGTGCTAAACACAATCCATGAAACAAATCACTCAGCACATAAGTAACAACTAAAACATAAAACAACCCCCTGAACATTAAAAAGGCTTAAATGTTAAGGGAAAAAATGCAATTTCAGAAGGTTTTTAAAAACAAGTAAAGTTGGAGCGTGTCTAATGTTAGGTGAAAGGGATCCCACCTTCCCTTACACCAGATCCTTGATACAGAAAGCAAAGACTGATTTGTAGACCTCAATGACCTACCAGGATTGTATACATGGAGATCTGATAAATAAGGAGGTGCCAGACCATTTCAGCATTAAGTACTGGATATATGTGTTCGCACGTTGTGATTTTGCCAAGTACTTTGCCATCCTGGATTTACATCTGTGTTGATCCTGGTACATCATTTTTGTTGGAAAATGTAATCCACACCTATTCCCTACCCCTAAACCCAACCAAGACTGTAAATTATTTCCAAAATCACAGGGTAATAATAGTTGGATAACACTCTTGTAGGACTGCATAAACCTAACCATGAGCTTAAACATAACCTAAACGATAATCGTATCCCTTAATTCTTATTGGCTTCCGATGTTTGTCCAGGATAAACAAAGATGTTAGTCCAGAAACATGTCCTACTTCGTGAAATTAGTATATGTGTTCATGCTTACAAGCTTATATTTTATTTTATTTTCATTCATTCGTTTTCTTGTCAACTTAGTCCCTTTATTAATCCGGGGGCGCCACAGGGGAATGAAACACCAACTTATCCAGCACGTTTTTACGCAGCGGATGCCCTTTCAGCCACAACCCATCTCTGGGAAACACACACACACACACACGCACACACACACACACTACGGACAATTTAGCCTACCCAATTCACCTGTACCACATGTCTTTGGACTGTGGGGGAAACCGGAGCACCCGAACCCACGCAAATGCAGGGACAACATGCAAACTCCACACAGAAACGCCAACTGAGCCGAGGTTCGAACCAGCAACCCAGTGACCTTCTTGCTGTGAGGCGACAGCACTACCTACTGCGCCACTGCTTCGTAGTTTATTTTATTTTATTTTACTTATTTGGGTTGTGGCTGGAAGGGCATCCGCTGCGTGGAAACGTGCTGGATAAGTAGGTGGCTCATTCCGCTGTGGTGACCCCGGATTAATAAAGGGACTAAGCCGAAAAGAAAATGAATGAATGAATGAATTTTATTTATTGTTTTATTCTATTTTATTTTATTTTATTTTTCTTAGTAGATAAATGCAGTCCATACCAACATAACAGCATTAATTAAAAAAAAATCATAAAGACCCACACTTTTACATAGTACTGTATACACTCTAAGAAATACATCAATAATGTTTTATTCCAGTAGTGTCAATAAGACTGTTGAACACAAGATCAAAAACAATAGATAAGATTTAAAACATAAATATATAAATTACATTTTTTGATATCTTGTTTCTAATCGTATCCATTGTATCAGGCTATACTATGCATTTATTGAGTCCACAAAAAATCTCCTTAGGTGACAAATTATGTTACAACAACAACTACATAGTTATCTCATTTATATCAAGAATAATGACTGATCACCCGGTTGTCATCTTATTCTGTCCTCAGCCTTGCTTCACCTTCACCCTCACTGGATATGTGGAAAAATCTGATAATGACGCTCCTCTAGAGGACAGTGATCTTCACAGCCGCTTTCTGTCTGAACCTTCTCCCAAAGCTTCATCAGACCCTCATCCTCCTCAGAGCCTCAGCCCCATCTCCTGAATCCCTCTGACCCACGAGCAGGCTCCAGGATGAGCGGCCTCTTCGCCAAACTGGACCCGCGCCGGGTTCAATGGGGGGCCAACTGGTTTGCCTTCCGGTCCCGCGTTCTGCGCACAAAGCCTGTGGAGTCCATGCTGGAGACCTCGGGTGGCACCGGGGCTCACGGCACCAAACTGGCCCGTGTCCTCTCCACCGTGGACCTTGTGTCTCTGGGAGTGGGAAGCTGTGTGGGTACAGGCATGTATGTGGTCTCGGGACTGGTGGCGAAGGAAATGGCAGGTCCTGGGGTCATTGTGTCTTTCATCATTGCTGCCGTGGCCTCCATCCTGTCAGGTGAGTACCCTTCCTGTGCCACTCACAAAACAAAAGAGGTCTGACATCATCCTGCAAACCTTAGTGTTACCAAACACTCTAGGAAATTAAAGGTACAAAAGCTGAAAGCTGTCACTGGGGCGTTACCTTTTTAAAAGGTCAACTTCTGTGCTATTATATTACTATACACTATTATGCATTATTATATAATATTATAATTATACTTGGGTACTAATATTTATCTTTACAAGGCATCTATTATGCAAAATCCATTATGGAACTCTAATGTGTTATCAGAAATATTTAGAAGTAAATTATTTTATGATAAATACTAGTAAAACGTGGCACAAAAAAAAATGGTATTTCATATGTCCCAAACATCATTCCTGGTGGGCCACAGCTCTACACATTTTGCTTCAACCCTAATCAAACACACACTAATCCAACTAATCAAGGTGTTCAGGACAACTATAGACTATTAAGCAGGTGTGAGTTGGAGGTGGTTGGAGCTAAATTATGGAAAGCTGCAGCCCTCCACACTCTCAGAAATAAAGGTATGCGGGCTGTCATTGGGGTGGTACCTTTTCAAAAGGTACATATTTGTACCTAAAAGGTCCTTATTAACACCTCAAGGGTATATAATTAGTACCTTAAAATTACAAAAGTGTTCCTCCTAATATTTTTAGGTACTAATATATTCTTTTTAGGTACCAATATGTACCCCTTAAGTACAAACATCTATCTTTTGAAAAGATACCACCCAGTGACAGCTCGTGTACCTTTATTTCTGAGAGTGCAGGAATTGGGTTTGAGACCCCTGGTGTATTTAAATGTATTCCTCTTAGTAGTTCATATAAAAATGTATACACTAAGTAACAAATCGTATATTTTTAGCAAGATTTGGGAACCATTCATATACAATTGAAGTCAGAATTATTAGCCCCCCTGAATTATTAGCGCCCCTGTTTATTTTTTTTCCCCAATTTCTGTTATGTTCTGGGAAAATTGTTTCAGCACATTTCTAAGCATAATAGTTTTAAAAACTTATTTCTAATAACTGATTTATTTTATCTTTTCCATGATTTATTTGATCTTTCCAGCTTAAAGTTAAAGTTAAAGACATTAAAAGGCTTAACTAGGTTAATAAGGTGAACTAGGCAGGTTAGGGTAATTAGGCAAGTTATTGTATAATGATGGTTTGTTCTGTAGATTATCGAAAACAAAAATTAGGGTCTAATAATTTTGTCCCAAAAATGGTTTTTAAAAAATTAATAACTGCTTTTATTCTAGCCGAAATAAAACAAATAAGACTTTCTCTCCAGAAGAAAAAATATTATCAGACATACTGTGAAAATTTCATTGCTCTGTTAAAAATCATTTGGGAAATATTTTAAAAAGAAAATAAAAAAAGGGAGCTAATAATTCTGACTATATATATATATATATAGTATATATATATATATATATATATATATATATATATATATATATATATATATATATATATATATATATATATATATATATATATATACATTTTTTTTTGCAGATAAACTGAACTGATAGATTTTTACAAGAATACTGTTAATTATTTTTTTTTATTTCATTATTTATTTTATAATCTTATAATAATTTATAATGTCTTTTTTGGTTTCATTGTCCATGTAAACCTTAATTCAATTTTTTATTTTTGTTCCACCCAGTTCCATATTATGATTATGAATGCTATTTATGTATACCTTTTATTTTACATTTTATAAAACTTCCTACAGTAAATATTGTGATCAATGTTAGATGGGTGGGGTGGGAGGTAAGGTTTGAGTTCCTATTTGTAGCAAGCTATATTTACTGTGAATACTTCCGAGATAAACTTTCATATATGGTCCATCTCTTTTAATGAAAGAATTTAGGCAGTACTGTGAAGATTTTTTTTCAATGAAAATTAAAAAAAAGAGTTTAAAAAATGTATACAAACATTGAATGTATGAATTAAAACTGTAAGTTTATAAAATAAAGTAAAAAGGAAGAAATAATTATTCACCAACATTATCCACAAGTTGGATAAAATATTTGCAATGATTTAAAAGAACTTCAAAAGCTTTTAAAATAATATTAATGGAAAATAAAACTTTTTTTATTTTGCTTTCTTGTTATTGTCAACATTGAAAAATATGTATTAATATAAATATGTAACTTTTTAATTGAATTGCACGACCATATTCTACAAGGCTTAACCGCTACAATAACTATTAATAAACGCTAAATTAGGAGTTTCTTTTTAATGTTTACTTTTAGAGGGCACCGGTTATGCAAAATCCATGGAACACTAATGTGCCGCCCCAGGTGTTGCAACTTTATTCCAGAGAGTGTACTGTGGATAACATCATTTTATCCACTGATCCTGAGTCAGGCTTTAGCTTAGTGAACACTTGTATATCTTTCTGCCTCCTGACGTGTAGCGATGACGCACGGTGGACTGGCTCATTAGGTTTACAGGTTAAAGCTGTGCACAGCATGCAGCACCCAAAATAGCATTAGAGGCAAAATCCATTTATTTTTTTATTTATTTTTGTGTCCCTGTGGATACCAATATAAAGAAGACAACCAGATATGAAAGAGAGGGGAAAATGAATGAAGGGGATATTTTGTTCCTGTGTGCAGCTGACCTTTCCACTCATGGAAACGAAAACAGGGTTTTGATAGCATTTGTTATCATTAGATATGTGGAAATTAGATATACAGTGTGCGTCTGTGATATTTGCAGCCCTGATAAATGCTAGTAAAACAGGCCATGGAAAAACACGTTTGAATTAATTCCTATAATTGTTTCATATTAAAATGTATGCAAATATAAGTTTAATAAAAGAAAAAGTAAGGTCTGGGGTTTGGTAATTTTTTAAAAAAATCATTTTATTTTAAATATTTAAAGTTGAAGATATTTTGAAAAAATTGTTAATGTACAATAAGAGTTTTCTACTTGGCTTTAAAATATAAATTACTTTAATGTTGTAATTTGATGCTCAAAATAATGTATTTTTATTATAAACATTGATAAAAAAAAATCCACCTTTCTAATAATTTTTTTTTCTGAAACTGTTTTTCTTTTAATTGAAACATTTTCCAGATTTATTTATATAGCAAATTGAATATGAATTGTACTGTATTTACTTGTGCTGCTTATAAATGCCTTATTATACAGTATATCATTATGTTCTATACATCCCTTTATCCCATTCTATTCTTAAACAGGTAAAACAACCAGTTAATTTGAATGTCATCACTTAATTGAATGGGCGTTATCAGTGGTTATCAGATGATAGATAGCCTTCTGCACCTACTAGTTGGCTCAGAAGTCTATTATCATCCACCAACATGGTTAATCAGCTATGTATTACACACAGCTGTGGCTGGAATTAAACGACAATTATTTCTATTATCTATTTAATTTCCCATGAATTGTATTTTATTAACGTTTACCACTACCCCAAGCCTAAACCCAACTGTCACAGTAATGCAAAAACAGATCTGGGGGTTCGGGACTTGTGGAGCTGCACATTGATGGATTTACTCTTCATTGTTTAGACTTTCAGTAGTGAAAATTAAACCACACTGAACTGAACTAAACTGAACTTCAACTCTAATAACTGAACTGATACTGTTTCAATTTACTATAATCTTCTATGTGAAGCTGCTTTGACACAACCTACATTGTAAAAGTGCTATAGATATACGGATGAATTGAACTGAATTTAATCTGGATCTGGAGTCTTCTCTATTAGTATAGCTAATTAACCATGTATAGATGATAACAGCCTTCTAAAGGGGGCGATTGCATTCGCATGTTATTTAAAATAAAACTATTAACATGGCGCTCCGTGGCGCAGCAGAAATATGAACATTGTTCTGAGTCGTAGATGGGCGCCGCGGACAGCCACCAACTTGCGGCGCCGGTGTGCGTACCATGACAGAAATCTATGTTTAGATTTCTAAAATGCATGGCGTTGAGTGTTGTGGGGTGTCACCGAGTGGCGCATCTGGTGTGCGAAGTATTAAAAACAATAAACTAGGAGTTAATTAATAAACTAGGAATAAATTAATAAGTCATGATTATAGTTAATAAGAGTTCTTCCAGCCTGATCTCACGAGAAAACGTAAGTATTTTACTTTTTTGGCAGTTAAGTGGCTAATTCATACGAATTCGTACGAGTTCAGTCGTAAGAAATTGTACGATTTTAAAAAGGAGGCGTGGCACCTAACCCCACCCCTAAACCCAACCATCATTGGGGGATACGCAAATCGTACTAAAATGTACGAATTAGATTGACGAATTTGTACGAATTAGCCACTAAATGAAAAAGTTACGAATTGCCGTGAGATTGTGTTGGTTCTTCATACTAAATTGCAACCAAGAACACTATTTTATCAGACGCTTTAATAAAAAATGAATGCTTTTCCTCATTATTGCATTTTTATTTTGATGGGGATTATGACACTCATAGAGACCAACAGCTATTTTGCTGTTTTTTAAGTGAAATTTAACTCAATCTGTCTCCATTCCGATTTGTTCTAGATCTCAATGCAATGTGCAATTTCAACATTCAACCTTATTTCTCACCTTATCAAATATAAGACCCATTCTGCATTTTTTTCACGTTTCTCTCAAAACTATCATATTAGGTCAACTTGAAAGGTTAAATAGTACTTTAAAGCTTTGATGTCACAGAGTACATATTAAAAAAAACAGATAATCCTTATCTCTTTCCACTGCAGTGGGCTTTACATGGATCTGAGCGGTAAAAAGGGATTTCCCTGCTGTTATCTGGCTGTCTGGGATTCTATGGGCTTGACATTTGAGAATTGATCTGACACTCCAGCCAAAAAAATCAATGTTTCCATCTTCTGCAGCCAGTTAGAAGTATCGATAAGCTTGTGAAGTTCAGGTGTTACAGTAATCACTGCTATCTCTCCACAGGGGTGTGTTATGCTGAATTCGGTGTACGTGTGCCTAAAACTACAGGATCGGCCTACACTTACAGCTATGTGACGGTGGGCGAATTTGTGGCTTTTTTCATTGGCTGGAACCTGATTTTGGAGTATCTGATTGGTACAGCAGCAGGGGCCAGTGCACTGAGCAGCATGTTTGATTCGCTGGCCAATCACAGCATCAGTGGATTCATGATCAACCACATAGGAACTCTTAATGGCTTGGGTAAGATGATCAATTTGTTTTCAGAACATAATCATCAAACGTCTGAGATTCTGGTTCATTTTAAAGATTTTAGTTTAGCACAATTTTAAAAATGTGTCATTATTTACTGTCAGCAGAAGATGAACAATGCCTGCATGAGACAGGAGAACTAGCCTCATTGTTTTTTGCAGAAACTCAGATTGAAGCCTATTGCTTTTTGCAGTTCAAACAACCAAGATTGGGCTTCCTTGGCTACATTTGAATGTTGTAAATACTGTTCAATGTTCAATATTTATCTATAAACAAATGTTTAAATTAATTATGTTCATCAAATAAAATAATTATGTCATTATATTCAGAAGACTTTATATTCAGAAGACTTAAACAACACAATTTATTTTGATTAAATTTATTTTGAACCTTTTGATCAGTTTTTTTTTTTTTTTTTAGTGTCAGGGGTTTGGATGAATAGACTTTCAATTTTAGTGAATAAAAGCTCTCACAAGTGATTACAAGTGTGTTTGTTTTTGTTCCTAAGATCAACGAAACATTTTGGGCGAAAATAACCATTTAACAGTGTTTGTTCACCATTCAGTGCACCATAAAAAAAAAACCCTGTATTTTTATGGTTTATTTCTGGTAGCTGGGGTACTGGTAAAAACACTTAAATAACGGCTGTTAAATTACAGAAATTTACTGTAAAATAATGGATGTTGAATTATTTTCCAGAAATCAAAAAAAATAAGTAACCGAAATTACAATTAAGGAAATTTCTGTAATTTAATATCTGTACATTATGCTATATTTCTACAATTTAACATCCATTATTTTACGTTTTCATCCGGCACTCCAGCTGCCGAAAATAAAACATAAAATTACAGATTTTTTTTACAGTGTGGGTACGGAAAGTATTCAGACCCCCTTAAATTTTCCACTCTTTGTTATATTGGAGCCATTTGCTAAAATCATTTAAGTTTTTCTGTTCTTCATTAATGTACACACAGCATGCCATGACAGAATTGTTAATATTTTTGCAGATTTATTAAAAAAGAAAAACTAAAATATTACATTGTCCTAAGTATTCAGACCCTTTGCTGTTGACAATCATATATTTAACTCAGGTGCTTTCCATTTATTCTGGTCATTCTTCATTTGAGTCTAGCTGTGTTTGATTATACTGATTGGACTTGATTAGAAAAGCTACACATCTGTCTATGTAAGACATTACAGCTCACAATGCATGTCAAAGCATATGAGAATCATACAGTATCATGAGGTCAAAGGAACTGCCAGAAGAGCTCAGAGACAGAATTGTGGCAAGGCACAGATCTGGCCAAGGTTACAAGATTTAAAAATTTTACTGGACTTTAAGTTCCTAAGAGCAAAGTGGCCTCCATAATACGTAAATGGAAGATGTTTGGGTCGACCAAAACCCTTTCTAGAGGCCAAAGATCACTGTGGCTGAGCTCTAAAGATGCAGTTTGGAGATGGGAGAACATTGTAGAAAGTCAACCATCACTGCAGCCCTCCACCAGTACCTATAGTACTCCAACATGCTCTTTGGGTGATTTCACAGGACAGGACAACTGGTTGCAATTGAGGGACGAAAACCTTTTACAGAGTACTCAGGACCTGTAAAAGGACTGCTAAAATAATGAAGGAGTGGCTTCACAACAACTCCATACCTGTTGTTGAATGGCCAAACTAAAGTCCTGACTTTAACCAAATAGAGTATCTCTGGAGAAACCTAAAAACAGCTTTATCATCCAACCTAACAGAACTAGAGAGCATCTGCAAGGAGAAATGGCAGAGGATCCCCACATTGAGGTGTGAAAAACAGGGTCTGGATACCTATGACCATGTGATATTTCAGTTTTTCTTTTTTAATAAATCTGCAAAAATGTCAACAGTTTTGTATTTTTTTGCTAATGTTTGTACATTATTGAGGAAAATTTTTTTTAAATAATTTTAGCAAATGGCTGCAATATAACAAAGGGTGAAAAAGTTTAAGGGGGTCTAAATACTTTCAGTACCCACTGTATTTAATCACCCTAAAGTGGTTTACACAAAAGCAGATATTTTTAAGAATGTTGGAAGCTGTAGACATTGACTTCTATACTAGGATACGAGTGCTATGGAAGTCAATGGCTTAAAAAGAAAGAAAGAAAATAAATAGTTGAAGTAATGACAAAAGTTTTCATTTTGAGAACTAATTCTTTAATAGGAATAGAAATTCATTTTATATTTCACAGGCAAATTTTTAAAAGCCTGTTATTATTGAATCCAATTTATTTTACAGTTGATTTAAGCGATTGAGTTCATGTCACTGAGTATTGTAGTCTTCAACGAACAAATTTGCCGCCCCAATAACCTTGACATCCACCCACAGTAATTCCAGCACAGTTTACAGTAGTTAATTCATCAATAGACTGGAGTTAATGGTGCTGCAAAAAGAACAAACGAAAGAAAAGGCACCTCTAACTTTAGCAGTCAATAGTCTGGTGACAAAGGCAATGTGAGAAATCCTTGTTAAAAACCGAGCAACCTCTCTCACAGCTTTTTTTGCATTATGAAACACATGCTCCAGTTACATTACTGAAGAGTAAAAAGAAGCACTTTTTAGGTTAGACATTTGTTATTAAAAGTAGGACAGAAATATTTTCAAAGTAGAAATGATTTAAAGCAAATTTCAGATCTTGACATAGTCTTGTTTTACTAAATGAAAAAATGATTCTGGTACAGATACTGTGTCTTGAATGCTGGTTATCCAATTTCTTTTGCAATGGATTTCTATACAATAAAATATATAGGGGCCTTTATTATTTCGGAAATGGAGTCTGTCAAAATGGGATCATCATATCTTGTGTCTTTGCAATTAAGAACCTCTGTAGCACAGTGACTTTGTTGAATTTTTCTATTGTACATGCTCAGACTACAGATGGAGGTATTAAGCATTGGGTACTCTAAAGATCAATATTTTCTTCCTGCGTGGAATATTTGGTTTGCAAACAGATGTAACATATAGACTATTATGTCTGACCTAGTCAAAACATGGCATACCATGCCAAAATACATAATCTCACTCCACCAGCAGCAGTTGTAAAATCTCTTCTTTTTTCTTTTCCAACCCCCTTTCCCTAAGTCAGATATACCCCCATCTGTGCATCTCTGTGCACACATGTAGTTAAATTATGCTTCATAATGCGTCATTTCTGCTTAAGGCATGTTTAGTATTTTTAGAAATAGCTGCGTTATTCATGACATCATTAAAAGGTCAGTTGAGGACTGTCTGCTGTCATTTTGTGAACACAGCTGTTTAAACTAATCTCACTTTGTCTGTATCTCTCTACATTAAAATATGTACAGTTTAAGTCAAAACTATTAAATAAACAGTAAAAAAAAAAAAAAAAAAAAATATATATATATATATATATATATATATATATATATATATATATATATATATATATATATATATATATATATATATATATATATGAATAAAAGCAGTTTTTTTTTAAGGTCAAAATTTTCATTTTAAGGCCAATATATTAGCCCTCTTAAGCAATATTTATTTATTTATTAAATTTTTTTCAACTGTCTACAGAACAAACCATCATTATAAAATGATTTGCCTAGTTAACCTAATTGACATAGTTAAGCTTTAAAATGACACTTTAAGCTGAATATAAGCTTCTTGAAAAATACCTAGTAAAATATTATATACTGTTATCATGGCAATAATAAAAGAAGAATTTCCATTAAACAGAAACTGTGTTGCATTTTTGCTGCTTGTTCAAACCATACTTGTTTAAAAAATGCTTAACAATCATCTTGTGTTAAGACAACGTGTAGAAATTGTGTTGGTGCAACTACCTGTGTAGTAGATGTAACATAAAGACATGTTAGGGTTTAATATTCACTTTAATGGGACGATTTAGAACAGTTTCAAGTAAAATTTTTGGGTCTTGAGGTTTCCATCTTACATAAGAGTAGCAGTCATGCATGCTTTGGATGTTGTCTGCTTTATTAACAACATTAGTGTCTGTTGCTTCACTCACTGAGCCGCAGATTTAAAAGTACTAATACTAGTTTTGAGATACATCTGTTAAAAGTATGCATTAGTAGGGCAGTTATTATTTTTGAGCTGCAATAAATAACAGAACATTCTAGATGTCCAAAGTAAAAGATTGAGATTAGTTTACTCTACAAGAGTAAATAGTTTTTCAGATAAGTTTATTCAAATGAAAGTGATTTAATGTCATTGATTCAATTCAAACAGAATTTTGCTCTTGGTTTCCATTTGCATAAAATAAGTTTAAATTATCTATCTATCTATCTATCTATCTATCTATCTATCTATCTATCTATCTATCTATCTATCTATCTATCTATCTATCTATCTATCTATCTATCTATCTATCTATCTATCTATCCATCCATCCATCCATCCATCCATCCATCCATCCATCCATCCATCCATCCATCCATCCATCCATCCATCCATCCATCCATCCATCCATCCATCCATCCATCCATCCATCCATCCATCCATCCATCCATCCATCCATCCATCCGTGTCTTTCTGTCTGTCTCTTTGTCTGTCTGGTAATCAATCATATTCGGTCAGTTTATCCATGCTATACACTGTAAAAAGTAAAAACATAAACAAATGACTTCGACTTGTTTCAGTTAAATGAATTACTATATTTGCTTTTAGTGAACAATACTTGTACTTGCCATAAATAAATGAATAAAGTCTGTTACACCGAAAAGAACTAATTTAATTTCTTACTAAAAAACTGTCATAAGTTTGTCAACCTAATTCATTTAATTGTAACAAGTTGAAGTAATTTGTTTTCACTTTTTACAGTGTAGATTTTCAAGTATTCATACCACACAAATCATGAGCAAACATCTTCAGATCTTTCAAAAATATTCCTCCTTTATAACCTGTTAGGTAAAGGGGAGCAGTCATATCCGGACATCCTGGCGCTGGTCATAGGCATCCTGGTCACAGTGATAGTCGCTCTGGGCGTGAAGAACTCAGTGGGCTTCAACAACGTGCTGAACGTCATCAATCTGGTGGTGTGGGTGTTCATAATGATCGCAGGCCTGTTCTTTGTCAGTGGGAGCAACTGGGATGAGGGACGATTCCTGCCTTATGGCTGGTCAGGGGTAAAGTACATTTCAAATCAATTAAGCTCAAGCCCATAGTGCAGTTAGTGGCTCTCAACATAAACACAGAGAAGGAAATTGCATTGTCTTGTATCTACAATCAACCGCTCTGCTCAACAGGTCATGCAGGGGGCAGCCACTTGCTTTTATGCCTTTATTGGGTTTGACATCATCGCCACCACAGGAGAAGAAGCCAAGAGTCCCAACACATCCATCCCCTATGCCATTACTGCCTCTCTGGTCACCTGCCTCACTGCCTACGTCTCTGTGAGTATATAAGCACCTAAAACAATATTTTGCTACTTGTACAAACTACTTATTTAAAATGAGCTGAAACATTTTTTGGGAAACAACTTAATTGTTTTATGTTCAATCCACTTAAATTTGTTACATTACAGTTTGTTCTCAGTCTATTAAGTGCATCACTCGCAACACTATTTACATTTGCACAACAGTTCATGCATTTCTCAAAACAATTAGTACAAACTGCAAAACCTAGCTGATAACCTGCAAAAGCGTGTCACTTCCTCAAAATGGATAGCTCATTCCTCAAAAGCAAGTATTCATGTCAATGAAAGTGTCAGTGTAATCAAGATGAAAAGAGCTGACAACATTGTTTATAAACAAGATAGTCAAATGGTTTTGTCATGTTTTCATTATGTCAGTTTACTCTGTACATTTTTTCCAATGAAAAAAAGTCAGATTTTGGTGACACTTTCTGAAAATGCTCAAGACAGCACTATATACTATTAGCACAGCCATTGGAAAACTACAGTAAAGTTAGACATCACTGCATTCACTGAGGTATCTGAGTACAAGACACTGAATATGTATGTTTCACATTTTTACTACATATGTTTTTTTTGCAATTCCAACTTATTTACAGCATTGTGCAAAAGAATAAATACACCCTTATTTACAACAAACATAAACTCCCTTTGGGTAGAGCTGTGCACAACTTTAAACAATATAGCAGTATATATTGGAACCGAATCTGCAACATACACAGGTCTGTAAATCATTCATGAAATTGTTCAATTGAGAAAATGTTTTCAGGAAAAAAAGATTTAATTTTTTAATAAAAATTTCCTGACAGATTTTGACAACTATAGTTCAACTTTTTTGCATGTAATGACTCAAGTAATGAAATAAGGACTATAACTTTTATATGGAATGACTATTCAGCATTCACAAGTTTAGTTCATTTTGACTGACATGACGTAAGCAAATGATAATGTTATAAAACAGCAGAGAGTTGTATGAAAGCAATTGGTGCATGTCCAAAAGAATTTGCAATTTGTTGGATGGATTGAGAAACTGCTACTATGATGTGCTCCAAGCCTCCAACCTTAATCAAACACACCTGAAGCAGCTAATCAAGCTCCCACTAGATAAACTAGAAACTTCCTGGCAGGTGTGTTGATTTTGGAGCTAAACTCTGCAGGACACCAGCCCTCCAGGACCGAGTTTGAACACCCCTGCCATAGTATATGTTTGTGAATGAGTGTGTATGGATGTTTACCAGTAAAAACCTGTGCTGAATAAGATGGCGGTACATTCCGCTGTGGCGACCCCAGATTAATAAAGGGACTAGCTAATGATTAGCAATAAGGATCAGCTGTAGTCGATCACATCACATGCTCCTCTCGGAATTAGCTTTACATAAACTCTCATTCTGTTTCTCATCTTTCAGCTGGAGTTCGGTTCCAGAGACATTCCTTTCCATGAATATTTTTTGAGGATTTTTAGCCATATTAGATAATGCTTTTTCATCTGAATTTATCAAAATGGTACACTTACAATGTTTGCTTTTCACTTTTTAATCAGAGTAAACTTCCTCATGAATGTGCATTCATGCACAGAGACGAATGGTCAAGGTCAGGATGTTTTTGATTGCTATTATATGAACTATTCAAATTTGAAAATTTTATTAAAATCCCTGTATTGTACACTGAAAAAAGAAACAAGGTTATGCAGCATTGAGGCAATACCAGGGTAAGTAAAGAAGGACTGATATTTCATTTTGGATGAACAATTCCTTTAAGGTTCATTTATTCCAATAACTATATCAATACACAATAATCCACCAGACTATAAGAAGTTTGGGAATCAAAAGCAACAGATTTCAAAACTGCCACGTGTCTATGTGCACTACTAAAAAGACAGAACTTAAAAAAAATAAATAAATAATGAGTACTGTGAACTTAATCCATTTGAGTAAATGAAGCAATTTAAGCACAGTAAAACCCAATAAATGAAGATAACTCAAACCAAATGAGAACTGTGAAACTGAATAAGTTAAGGCAACTCAAACCTTGCTAATTTGAGTAAAAAAAAAAAAAAACTAATCTATATGAGTACTGTGAACTGACTCCATTTAAGTTATAGTAATGAGGTATTTAATTAACTAATGACCTTCAAAACTCCTTTCAAATGAGAAGAATTAACTTTCAGTCAATTTTGAGTTAACTACACTCATTTCATTTGATAAATTTGACTGTTGGGTTTTACATTGTAGTTAAATCCTATAGTTAATCAATAAAATAAAGTCTGGAACAAAGAAATTATTACTTTTAAAACGTTTTTTTCATGCCAGTCAGAATCCACCTGACTATAAAAAGCTCGGGCATTAAAAGAAACAGATGAGATAACAGAGTGCACTTGATGATTCAAATGTTGAAGCTCTTTTCTGTTCTTCAAAATAGTTATACTTGGATGTTTCAAAAATACAGTAAGAATATAAATGATGTTCAGATAGTCTTTGTTCTTTTCTCAGTTTACAGACAGTCATTGATCATTCTCTTCATGCAGCATGTCTGCATTTATTAAAAGCTCTCTGGCTTTATTACAATGCAATGCCGTCTGTGCAGGAGGTCGTCATAGTAACACAATGAAAGTGAACACACCAGCAACACACCACCTCTTTTCTACATACAATGTACTTTACTTCTGTTTTCTTCTAATTCCTATTTTTAATCTTCTGTCTGCCTCACAGTTTTTGGTTTAAGCTGTTATGAATTATCCTTAGTAAAATGGCTGCTCATTTCCACACCTACAGATCTGTCTGATGAGGAGCGAACTTGTTAATTAGCGGCGTTCACCCCTCCAGTGCTCATTGTGTTGTTGTAGAGGCTAATTTTAGCCAGGCACTTTATTCTCTGTCTGCGTGTGTGCAATTGAATGTTGCATATGTGTTTTAGAGTGACAGATTAAGACTACGTTTCTGAAATGTATAAAATGGGTCACATTGTTAGGAATCAAAGCTTCTTTAAAATTTTAAAACTATAAAAGTAATTTGTGCTATGAATGTAAAACTTTTAGTACTCAGTGATGCCCAAACATTTTTATTTAAAACTTGTTTTCTACTTTCCACCCTTATGACATCAGACATCTGAACACAAATACATCACTGATATTTGTTTTAATGATTGTCAATAATCTTAGAATTTTTACAATTAGTCCTACACACCAGAAAAACAAATTATACAAAATCTTTGTTGTTCTGTCTGTGCTTCTTCTTTTGCATTGCATTGTAAAAGGTATATTAAGGTATTAAGATATTTGTTTTATGATTTAAAGGCACAGTATGTAATTTCCAAAGCTAGAGGGTGTGTATTTACAACAAACATATATGCTTAGTTTGATGCGGTGACTGAGTGTGGAATCATGGGAGCTGTGGTCTTCATTAAAGCCTACAGAAATCACGTTCATGGATGTGCGAAAGCAGGGCTGCTCAACCCTGTTCCTGGAGATCTACCTTCTTGCAGATTTCAGCTCCAACCCTGATTAAACACACCTGAAGTAATTAATTAGAACCTAAACAGTACTTGATAATTACCGGCAGGTGTGTTTGATCAGGGTTGGAGCTAAAATCTGCATGAAGGTATCTCCAGGAACAGGGTTTAGGAACCCTGTGCTAAAGTATTCAAAGCTTATTATCATGGTAGTATTAATCCGAGTAAGACTGAAAGCCATTAAAGAGAAATGAGACAAGCATAATGTGGCATCAAATCAGTGGGGCTTTTATTACCACAGTGCTCCACTTTAGTTCTTCTGGTCGTATATGTCTTTGATTCTATTATAATGTTATTCTGCAGTCTATTAAAATGCACAATATATTAAAGCATCCCTGTTTTTCCATGTTTTCTATAAAATAAACCAATTATCAAGGATATATGATGTAATTAGCATGGCAACTCAGGACATGCTCAATGTTAGGTAAAACTGCTTAATTCCATGGACTTTAACATTCTTCTAAACATTTGGGATAATGTAAGTACATAAGTCAGCATAATGTATAACACTGTCTATGATTTTTGGACATTTTAATGAACTTATTTTATTTTGTGCTTTAAATGTAACAAAGGATGTCTTTTACTGAAATGTGTTAAAGAAACACAATTAATATTTCTACTATTTAAAAAAATCCACATTCTTTTAGACTCTGAGGGGTGCCCATATTACAACAAAACACTGCAAAATATGGTCATCTTATCAGTGCAGTAGAAGACAGAATGAACTAAAAGGACTTGCATTGCAGACAAAATAGCAACAAGTAATGCCAGTAGCTCATCTTGAGTCATAAACTGTACACCTAAAATAATAGTAGCATCCATAGTGAATCTTCTATAGGTTTTATGCTGCATTTTTCGACAATAGAAATCATATACATTATATTAAACCAAATTAGTCTTAACGCATGGGGTTCCATTTAAAAACAAAACTTCCAATTATTCATTTATTAAGTTTTTTTGTAGTGATATTGAAGAACTTAATCTGGCTCCTCAAAGAACTTTTCATTAAAGAGTTTTTATTAGACTATTATTTCTTTCAAACATGAAAATCTTATAATTTAATATAATCTAATAATGTTTATTAGGGGTTCTTTGTGGACCCATTATTGCCTATAAAAAAACCTTAAGTCTATTTAATAAATTTCCAAACATTAAAAGATAATTACTGTTTTTAACCTTGTCTCTAATGTTTAACATTATGATTGTGCAACAGTTTTTTAAAGGCACAGCAGCCAAAAATAATAAATAAATGAATAAGATCAATAGTAGGTCAGTGAATCACACTTTCTCTCTGTTTTTCTCCGCAGGTGAGTGTGATTCTCACCCTGATGGTTCCCTACACTGAAATCGATTCAGATGCTCCACTGATGGAGATGTTTTCTCTACATGGCTTCCAAACTGCCAAATACATTGTGGCCATTGGCTCCATTGCTGGACTGACGGTCAGTTTGTTGGGCTCTCTGTTCCCAATGCCGAGAGTCATCTATGCCATGGCAGGAGACGGTTTGCTCTTCAGGTAATATAAAATGAAATCACAGGGTGAGGTAATTATGATCTTCTGTAATGATTAAAATGCCATTTAAATATCATTCTCTGCTGGAGAAATGCACTTCTGCGTTCATGCAGTCTGACAAGAAACGTTACTTAGAGCCCTGACATTTTAAATCAAAGCCAGTATAATAGCTGTATGGTAAGAATTCTTTGATAAAATTAATGTTTGGATGTGTCACCTTGTTTACGCCTGGTATTAACTTTGGTACATCCACCACAGGTAATTCAAAGTAGTCAGAGAAAACACAAGGGATGATCTTTTTTAGTATGAGTATTTAAACTACAAAAAAAAAAAAATAATAAAATAAATCACATGTTTTTTCTCCCTCTGGAAGTGATTGATTTATTGTGACAGTAAAGTTACATTTTCAGCAATTAATACATGATCCTTGACAAATCTTTCTGATTATATGCTGATTTGCTAAATTGAGTTGCTTAATTATGGTGGCTTGAAAAGCCAACATACTGTTATCTCACTTAAACTTATTAATGGGGTTTGCCATAGGCAAAGTCCATTCTTACAATTGTGCTGGCTTATTATTCTTCTTCTTCCTTCTTCCGTACCATTTTTCGGCGCGTAACTAGTCCCGCAGCTTTCGTCCCAGACCCTTGAAAGTGGGCTCAAATCGTCCGGTCTTATCGGGAATGGTGTGCTATGACTTTTATAAGGGGTGGGGGGTTTTTTGGCCCCGCAGGGGCCAAAAAACCCCCCCAAAAATCCCATAGACTTAACATTGAGCCGAACTTTGACGACTCACAGCGCCGCGTGTGAATTTCATAGAAATATGGGATTCACAGCATCTGTAGAGGGTTGCAGCCTAAGTGAGAACATACCTTGCAAGGGGGTAAAAGTTGCACCCCTGGGGCTCTAGGACGTCCCAAAGTGCTCCCATTGACTTCCATTGGCCCCATTGACTCCCATTCATTTTTCTAGGAGAGCACTAAACGCGCCGCGAAATGGGACGACCTTTTAGGCGTTATAGCGCCAAGTGTGAAATTCGTAGAAATATGGGATTCGCAACATCTGTAGGGGGTTGCAGCCTGTATGAGAACATACCCCAAAAAGGGGTATAAGTTGTACCCCTGGGGTGCTAGGACGTCCCAAAGGGGTCCCCATTGACTTTACATGGCCCATTGACTCCCATTCATTTCTTGACTCACATGTCAATCACATTACATAGCAGTGTCATACAGACTTGGGGTTGGCTAACTTGACTGAGGCAACCAATCAGCATCTCAATATGATTTTGAAGCTCACAAGCCACGCCCCCCCAAACCATTTAAAGACCCTTAATAACTGCCCCATTGACTTAACATGGGGTGGGGCGTCCCATTGCACATCCCATTGACTTCCATTATAAATGTCACACATCAATAACATTACATAGGAGTGTCATAGAGACATGGGGGTGGGCTCATTTGACTCAGGCAACCAATCAGCATCACTATATGATAATGAAGCTCACAAGCCACGCCCCCAAATTGATCCCATAGACTTCTATTATAATTGGGCTAGATGCATATCTTTGCATTGCAGTGTCATACAGGCTTAGGGGTTGGCTCATTGGACCCAGACAACCAATGAGCATCTCAATATGGTAATGAAGCTCACAAGCCACGCCCCCAAACTGGTCCCATAGACTGCCATTATAACTGGCCTACATGCATATCTTTGCTTAGCAGTGTCCTATTGACTTGGGGGATGGCTCATCTGACTCAGACAACCAATGAGCATCTCGATATGATAATGAAGCTCACAAGCCACGCCCCCAAATTGGTCCCATAGACTTCCATTAAAATAGGCCTACATGCATATCTTTGCTTAGCAGTGTCCTATTGACTTGGGGGTTGGCTCATTTCACTTGGACAGCCAACCACATTCAAGTTCACTCTGTAACCTCGCCCATAGCAACAAAACAGAGTACCCTAGCAACCATTCATCAACAGCTATATCTCAGCATCGGAACATCGTAGAGACTTGGGGATTGGCTCGTTTCACTCATGCTAGCAAACGGAACTTCCTGTATGCTACACATGCTAGCAGTGACTAGCTACATGCTAATATCGACTAGCCAAGTACTGTAACTTGCTAGAAATGCTTACTAAGTATAATTATTTCATCAGGCATGTATATGAGGCTTGCCTAGTAACCACCCCGGGTACCCTAGCAACTGCCTAGCAACCACTCAAATTACCCTAGCAACCGCCTAGCAACCACCTAGCAACCGCCTAGTAGCGCCTTAGTAAGGGCCTAGCAACCACTCAGGACACCCTAGCAACCGCCTAGCAACGCCTTAGCAACCACTCAGAATACCCTAGCAACCACCTAGCAACACCTTAGCAACCACCTAGCAACCACTTAGGACACCTTAGCAACCACCTAGCAACACCTTAGCAACCACCTAGCAACCACTCAGAACACCCTAGCAACTGCCTAGCAACCACTCAGAACACCCTAGCAACCACCTAGCAACACCTTAGCAACCACCTAGCAACCACTCAGGACACCCTAGCAACCGCATAGCAACCACCTAGCAACCGCCTAGTAACGCCTTAGTAAGGGCCTAGCGACCACTCAGGACACCCTAGCAACCGCCTAGCAACGCCTTAGAAACCACTCAGAAAACCCTAGCAACCGCTTAGCAACACCTTAGCAACCACCTAGCAACCACTTAGGACACCTTAGCAACCGCCTAGCAACACCTTAGGAACCACCTAGCAACCACTCAGAACACCCTAGCAACCACCTAGCAACCACTCAGGACACCTTAGCAACCGCCTAGCAACACCTTAGCAACCGCCTAGCAACCACTCAGAACACCCTAGCAACCGCCTAGCAACACCTTAGCAACCACCTAGCAACCACTCAGGACACCCTAGCAACCGCCTAGCAACACCTTAGCAACCACCTAGCAAACACTTAGGACACCCTAGCAACCGCCTAGCAACGCCTTAGCAACGACTTAGAATACCCTAGCAACCACCTAGCAACACCTTAGCAACCACTTAGGACACCCTAGCAACCGCCTAGCAACACCTTAGCAACCACCTAGCAACCACTTAGAACACCCTAGCAACCGCCTAGCAACACCTAAGCAACCACCTAGCAACCACTCAGGACACCCTAGCAACCACCTAGCAACACCTTAACAACCACCTAGCAACCACTCAGGACACCCTAGCAACCACCTAGCAACACCTTAGCAACCGCCTAGCAACCACTCAGAACACCCTAGCAACCATTTACATTACCCTAGCAACCACATAAACACATGAATTTAACCATTTCTCCACATTTACTGCTATTTTGCCCAGTTTAGTACCATTTTGTACCCCATCGATTTGCCACGCAAACCCCATTCACATTTCCTTTAGGAAATGTACAATTCTAGTTAGGCTGGCTTGTGTAGCAAGCCAGACTACTGTTATCCTATTAAACTTATTATTATTAGGCTGGCTTGTGTAGCAAGCCAGACTACTGTTATCCTATTAAACTTATTATTATTTTTATTAATATTATTATTCTTCTTCTGAGACTAAAAATTAAACTCTATCTCCACCTAGACCTTTCAAGCTATGACCATCAAACTCGGGTCAGACCTCCGAACTATTCTGACTCGAGTTGCTATATCTATTCCGACTGATCCGACTTTCGGTTTCCCGAAAAACGTCCCGGGACCGTCGGAAAAATCCCATAGACGTAACATTGGATCAAACTTTGTGACCTCATAACTCCGCATCAGAATGTCACACAGACTTCTAACTGGGCTCATTTAACTCAGACTATCAAACTGCCAATGACTGATCACCTTTAAACTTTCTAGCCACGCCTTAGCAACCACTTTTGGACCCTAGAAACCGTCCCATAAACTTCCATTGCAAAAGACTCTCATTGACTTTACATGGGATCAAACTTTGAGAGCTCATAACTCTGCATCAGACTGTCCTACAGACTAATGGCTGAGCTTATTTAACTCAGTCTAGCCAGCAGCCAATTACTGATGGCCTTTTAACTTTCTAGCCACACCCTAACAACCAGATACTGCACCCTAGCAACTGTCCCATAGACTGCCATTAAAGAGGTTCAGACTGATATTGTCATGCTGCAGTGTGATAGAGACATGGGGGTTGTTTTTAACTGTTCATACTGGCAAGAAGCTTTGATACATAATCAGTCTAAGCTGTCAATCAACTCCATAGCAACAAAACAGACTAACCTAGCAACGATATAACAGCAGCTATATCTCAGCATCAGAACATCGTAGAGAAGCAGGGGTTGGCTTGTTTGAATCAGGCTCGCACACCATCTATCTATCTATCTATCTATCTATCTATCTATCTATCTATCTATCTATCTATCTATCTATCTATCTATCTATATCTATTTATCTACCTCTATCTATCTATCTATCTATCTATCTATCTATCTATCTATCTATCTATCTATCTATCTATCTATCTATCTATCTATCTCTAACTATCTATCTATCTATCTATCTATCTATCTATCTATCTATCTATCTATCTATCTATCTATCTATCTATCTATCTCTAACTATCTATCTATCTATCTATCTATCTATCTATCTATCTATCTATCTATCTATCTATCTATCTATCTATCTATTTATCTATCTCTAACTATCTATCTATCTATCTATCTATCTATCTATCTATCTATCTATCTATCTATCTATCTACCTCTATCTATCTATCTATCTATCTATCTATCTATCTATCTATCTATCTATCTATCTATCTATCTCTAACTATCTATCTATCTATCTATCTATCTATCTATCTATCTATCTATCTATCTATCTCTAACTATCTATCTATCTATCTATCTATCTATCTATCTATCTATCTATCTATCTATCTATCTATCTATCTATCATCTATCTATCTATCTATCTATCTATCTATCTATCCATCATGCTAACAACATGCTAATTCATGCTAGAA